AGATAGATAGATAGATAGATAGATAGATAGATAGATAGATAGATAGATAGATAAGATAGAGCCTACTGGATGAAGAAAGAGAGAACAATTAAAGCTATTAACTCTTAGGCAATGAAATTAAGGGTTCTAAGGCCAGTTAAGGAAGGAAGGACCAGATAGAGTACAGTATGATGGATATCATAATAATTACACAGAATATGAGCATTTGGATCCAAGCCCAAGGAATAAATTGCAATGCTCCAGGGAGAGATGATGGTGAAGTTATCCCAGTAATAAGAAAGAGTATGAACAGAGGAAAAGAAACATGATCTGAGACTTCATGCCCATCTGTGAGTGGGAAGTCAGGTCCAAGCATGGAGAGAGAACACAGTGCACAGGTAAGTGCATAAAACACATTGTTACTATGATGTTTTGCTTGTTCCTTCACTGTGAATAGTAATTCTATCTCATATCTGTTGATTGACACTTGCACTGGTACTTGACCTCAAAGATGTACTTCAGAGCTGCAGATAGATACATGTTAAAAAAAAAAAAAAAGATTCTCTTTTTCCTATCCAAAAAATCTTTCTTTTTTTTCCGATATATATTCTTGGTGAATTTGTAAAGAAACAATTAGGCATCCACAGAAGTTTGTCTTTATCTCTGCATCTTTTACCATTGGTCTACATGTCTATTTTTGTTCCAGTAGGAGACTGAGTTTATCAAGTATAACTTGAAATCCGATGTTGTGATAATTTCTGCAATATTTATCCTGCTTAAGAGAAACTGTTTATGCTTGATAGCTGCTGGGAAAGGACTAGTCGGTTTTCTCTGAGGCAGTGACAGTAGGCACTCCAGGGCAAGGCCCCCAGCCCAGCAGCAGTCGGCCAACAAAAACTGGACACCATGCCTTTTTGTTTGCTTGCTTGCTTGCTTCCACTTATTCAAGACAGAGAAAGAATATGAAGTTGGATAGGTAAGGAGGTGGGGGAGAATCTGAGGAGACATTGGGGTGGGAGAAATAATATGATTAAAATATATCATTTGAAATTCTTAAAAAAATAAATAAAACCATTATTTCAAAAACAAACAATACATTAAAATGCTTTGTCTATGCATGGTCTTTTCTGTTTCTGATTTTTTTTTCTGTGAGGAAGATACTGGCACTTTGAAGGAAATTGTATTGTATCTGTAGGGTCCGTTGTAGGGTCCGTTGAACAAATGGTGGTGACAAAATCAGATATATACAAACATAAATCCACATCTCTCACCCTATACAGAAAACAAAATCCATTAAAATGGATCAGGTACACAAATCTAAAGCCAAGCTGCTGAAGGTCTAAGCAGAAGACACAGGAAATGCACTTGAGGCTGTAGGTGAGGCAAGGACTCTCTGAACCAGACTTCGACAGCACAAGAAATATCCCTAAGTATCAGCAAATGGGACTTGATGAGGTTAAAGTGTTTCTGCACAGGAAAATGATCGGAAACTGCTATCGGTGGTGTAGACAGTCCACACAATGCCAGGCACGTTCTACCAGCTACACCTCAGAGTTGACATTGATATCCAGACTACATAAAGAATAGTAAAAATAAAACATGGAAACCACAAAACTGCCATTTAGTACATGGGCTGATGAACACATAGTCCTGAAAAGATGAAACACAAAGCCAGTGAATATATATTTTAAATATCTAACAACCTCAACCATAAGCCAAACACAAATTAAAACCACTTTGATATCGCACCTCACCACAATCCATTTGGCTCTGACCAGGACAACAAATGACAACAAAGACTGATGCAGTTATGGAGAAGAAAAGAATCTTTCCGCACAGTTGGTGAGAGTGAAACTAATACAGCCATATAGAGGTTCCTCCCAAAACTGACGTGTAGAACCATCATATGGCTTTGCTGTACTGTTCTTGGGCATAGACTCAAAAGACTGTATGTGCTACCACAGAAGTACCTACGCCGTCATGTTTGCTGCTGCTCTATTCACAGGATCTAGAACATGGATGTCCCGCAACAGAAGCTGGTGTAATGAAAGATGATATTATCAAGTTTCTGGGATGTGGAGATTGATATGCTAATAAGGTGCTCTAGTGTCAGAAAGACAGAAACCACCCATGTTCTGCCTCATGCAAATCCTAACTGTCAATGCTTACATAAATGTAAATGAGAGCTGTGAGGGTAGTATAAACCAGGAAACCTGATAGGCAGCCCTAAGAGGGAAACAAGAATTAGAAGTAATGAGAAATGGGAACAAAGGCAAAAGGTCACATGCGACTTGAAAATTGATAGAAGCCTATTAGGGTGTAACAAGGAAAAGTGGAGGGATAGAGAGGAGGGAGAAATAAACAACAAATGAAGCTCAAGCCTTTGGAACCTAATGAAAATTTTTAAAAAGAAAGCAATTGCTTTGATTTTGAAAGAGAGGGCAGAGCATATTGGTAGAGATCTCAGAGCAAGCTGAGCAGACGTCTTGTGCAACAGCCTAAATTCCACAGCAGATGATGTCACCACAACTGTCCTATAAAGGGAGCAAAGCTTCGGTGCATCTAAGCAACCCATCTGCACCAATACCCAGGACAACTGGAATGGCTGTCTCAGTTCTCCGACTGACGGTTGTCTTGGGACTGTGCGCCCTAATCCTGACATGCCAGGCAGGTAAGTGTTTCTGATCACAGCCCAGAAACTTTTCCATAGTTAGCAGTGATGGGTGGAAGCTGGAGCTGATCCAGAGCAAAAAAAGGGGAGGGACATTTTGGCTTCACAGAAGGAATACTGGGCTGGGAGGTTGGAAACACATCTAATATAAAAAGCAGTTTTATTAAGCTTAGGGTTTTTTTTGTTTGTTTGTTTGTTTTTTGTTTTTTGTATCCTCCATCCTCATGAAATGTATGATACCTGAAAAAGAGTTCTTTCTCTTATTCTTAAATGGTAAAGTGACACTATTACATTATAAATTCCTTGAGAAGTGTCTGTGATGTGTTTTTGATGTAATTGATAATGTTCAATAATGATGAAGATATTCTTCTTAGTAGAACTCTATAGTCATTTACATCATTAAAGAGAAATATAAATTAAGGCATGATATTTAATGCCTCTAGATGTCAAACAATTTTTTGAACTTTAATTGTTAACAGTTTCACAAATTTATCATAAAAATTAAATGCAAGAAACAAGTTTCAATAATAATCACAAAATAAATATTAAATGTTATTGTTATAAAGTATAATTATTTTTTAAGTTTGAGGACAGTTTTACTTGAGTTTACAAGAAAAACACCCTAGGTACTTTGTATATTTTAGCAGCTGCTTAGCCAAGAAAAAATAAGTAATGCTATTTGAGTTACCAGATCAGATATGTGGTGGCAGACAGACACATGGCAGAGAGGAGACTTAAGGAATTAAGAAGGTGCAAAATATCAGAAAAAAACAAAAGTCACGAGAAAATGTACATGCATAATACAGAGATAGAAGATAAAAGGTTACACCTTCTTACTATTTCAGACAATCTGGCAGACTCACCAGTGTGCCTGGCTGCAACCTGGTATTGGGCCTGGGTGGGAATTCTGGGAGGAAAGAGTACAGTGTCTCCTTAAAGTGATAATTATTCCACCTATCGGTTTGGCTTAGCTTAAGTGAACTCACCTTCCTTCTTTGTGAGGGGAGGTCCCTTAGCCAGGTGATTTACCTGGCACATGTGTTAGAGCTCCACCCGGCCAGACATCTATTCTCTTACATTCTAGACCTTTATTACTTTATAGTTCTAACACTTCCCATTAACCTTAAAATAAGTTAGGAACCATTTCAGGGATCAGAGACCTCCAAACACTTCTGGCATCTTCAGTCTTTGGCAAAGACAAGGTTGCTAAGAGACCCAAATATGTTTCTTGCTTTTAATTAGTTAGTTAGTTAGTTAGTTAGTTAGTTAGTTAGTTAGTTAGTTAGTTAGTTAATTAGTTAGTTAATTTCAATTTATTCCATTTGCAGCCCCTCTGCAGTCCCCTCCCCTGTTTCTTACCAGTCCCAGCCACCCTCCCTCTTCTCCCCTATCCCCTTTCCCTAGTTCCCTGATAAGGGAGGTCCTCTTCCCCTTCTATCTGAACCTAGCTTATCAAGTCTCATCAAGGCTGGCTGCATTGTCTTCCTCTGTGGCCTGCCAAAGCTGCACCCCTAGGGGAAGGTGATCAAAGAGCCAACCACTTAGTTCATATCAGAGACAGTCCCTATTCCCCTTAATAGGAACCCACTTGTACACTGAACTGCCATGGGCTACATCTGTGCAGGGGTTCGGTTATCTCCATGCATGGTCTTGGCTGGAGTATCAGTCTCTGAAAAGACCCCTGGGCCCAGTTTGTTTGGTTCTGTTTTGGGGAGCAACTTTCTTACCAAGAAGAAAAACATTAGTGAGAAATGGCTGTCTAGGTAACATCTTACATACATTTAAGCTTAATGTCTCTGAGTAAAATTCCTTGGACAGTTAAACAATATATATTTTAACCTTTGGCTGTACTTTCCTGTCAGATATTTAAGACCATATAGGTACCCAAAACTAATAATATTCCTTTTGTTATCAGGGTCAGTTGAGGTTCTGATCCTTAGTGGTCTCTTGGAATTTAGTGGAACCCCTGGCTCCTTTGGCTTTCCTTTCACCATTTCTCCCATCTTTTGAGAAAAAGTCTAAGGTTTTGCCTGGCTTGGAAGTTTTTCTGCCATGTTGACCCTCCTGTATGTAGACTGGACAGTGGTTATAGCCCATTCAGTGTGGTCTCCATGGTTTTCCTGAACAAGAGGACAGGTGACACATCAGAGCCACAGAACACATCTAGAGATGTCTCTGGGTCCTAGCTGACCTTGGAGGGCAAGTAGTAAAATCATGTCGCTTTAAGTTCCTCTGTCCACATTATTATAGTCCTCTATGCGAGGTCATTGCACATTCAGAAGGTCAGCAGCAGCAGCTTGATGTTCTTAACTATTGTTTAATGTTTAGATAAAACTTAACCAAACATATAACATTTATATAGACCTGCATTAGACATGTATTCTTGTTCATTTAAGGTAGCATTTGGAAATGATACTTTAGAAAGCAGATTAATAAGAGAATTCCATTTAAATAGATTTAAATAGAAGTCTGACATCAACATATTGAAATTTGACCATGTATGTGTGTGCGTGCATGCCTGTGTATTTTATGTCTTGTCCTTTGCATACCTTAAATAATTTATGTCAATAACTTACTTAGTCTTCCCAGTTTTCTTTCCTATTCAGGAATCACTTATAATCTTAATAGACCCTCATAATAATCCTATTAAATATGCCATTTTTTTCATTTGCCTTGGTTGATGCAGATTAGTAAACTAAGCTTGCAGAAGGGAAATGTTTTTAGTGTAGGCACAAGTGAAAGTGGCTCTGGTTGTGAAATCTAAGTTTGTAGGTTCTTTCGATTACAACTAAGCATTTGTGTCTTTTGTATCTCATGCAAGCACTCAGAACTGTGAGCAGCATGCAGCATTCTCATTTAGGAATTCACTATTTCATCTACAGAAGACAAGGAATCCTTGGCTCATCTCTGTTGAGGGTGATGCAGAGAGCAGAATGTGTGACCACTTAGCAACAGACCCCTGTGCATGCAAGCTAGAAGAACTCACAGCCCTAGGTCACTAATGGCACCACTAATACAAAACCCAGATGAATAATGCAAAAGAATTATGGCAGAGGGGGACACAGGGATGTCTGTATTGACTCTGTCTCTACAGCCATCAATACAGTGGTGTGAAGGGTGAGATTTCTAAAGACAATTCTTAGTTCATCTCATAAACTGTGAAACTGGTTAAACAAGTCCAGTTTTAAGTGTTAATTTTCCCACCTATAAAACTATTGAGGTTACCAGATAAAATGAGCATGCTTTTCTAATCACTTTGTAAAGTGTAGAACTCTATCTAAATAAAAATGTATGTTTTCAGAATTTTACAATCGCATTCAATTTAGAAATTCAGATGAATACTTAATGTAAATAAAGACTACTCTTTATTATATTTTAATAGAGAAAATCCTTAATTATGGACTTTTATAAGTTGAGATTTCTAAGTATTCCAATAGCATTTAAAATTTTTATTATATTATAAAATGCTAGAGGAAAGTGGAGTTATCTCTGTGTTGCTGTTATTAATTCTAACAGCGGCACGTATCAGTTACTGTGAGCTGCCCCTGGCTCTGGTTCTGTGATAAGTGGTATATATACTATGTTATCTATCTATATACACATGACATACATGAACAATAAATATAATAAAGAAACTAAAAGACAGTGGTTAAGTGTGATTTGCAAGAGTACATGACTAACATTTTTGCATTTTGTATTTTTATTAATTACAGTTTATTCACTTTGTATTCCCCCTGTAGCCCTTCCTTCCTCCCCTCCCAATCCCACTGTCTCTCCCCTTCTCCACCCATGCTCCTCCCCAAGTCCACTGATAGGGGAGGTCTTCTCCTTCCTTCTGACCCTAACATGAGTAACATTTTGTTGAAGACAAAGAGCAAAACCAGATTGTAGAACCTTAAACCACGTGACACACCACACACTAATGCCTATGATTACACATAAGGCCTAAAGATTGAGACTAATTCCCAACTTCCCACACTCTAATCCCAGTTCCTCCTCAGTATTGAAAGCTAGTATTTAGTATTACAATAAAAGTGAGTTAAACTGTTATGTATTGTGAACAGGGGCTCTTCTTTTGTGCAGGGACTTTGTTTCACAGTTGACTGGTATCCTCCAAGAACCATTCTATGGAGGGGTTGTAATACACCATGAAGACCATGCTCCCTGGAGTTAGATGGAATTCAGCCTCATACCCTGGCTCCGCCGCTTTTTTCTAGGACTTTAGGACTTTTGGTGAATTGTTTAATTGCCCAGAGCATCTCTGTTATTCTCTGGAAACAGTGACTCCATCACTGAGTGAGGTAAGGATACAGGTCTGTGAGGATGTACTAGCCCAGCTCCACATGGCAGGTACTCCATGAAAGGAATCTTCTCTCACAGTGAAAGTAAATCTGTTCTGAGCCCTTTGGTCACACAGACACGCATGTGAGAATCATCATCTTTAGGCTAAGTCTTAAGTGGAAAGGCTTGATACATAGTCCACTCCTTAAGAAACCAAACTGAAATGTGCTCTAAGTGAGAAACTCAACTGCTGAATGAATGAATATTTAATTAGTATCTCTTGTAAACCCCAGACTAAATGGCTTGTCAAATCTTTGGTTATGATATAGTAAATAATAAATGCTCATCAAACTTAAAGCTGTTTTTACGAATAGCTTACATTTTAGAGCTAACACATTTTTTCATCATTTGGTAGGTTCAGAAGAGGTGTATCCACACATCCTTGTAGACGAGGGAGGATAGTGTGAATAAGTTGAGATTTCATGAATCAAAATTTACAGAGGAAATGCAGGATAGATATAACACACTTTGTGTATCTTGAAAATCATCTTTATACAAACAATGTTTAGTGTTGATCTTAAATTTCATAAACGTCTAGAACTGGTAGCATGATAAATTCTTTAATTTTTAAACAAAATAAATCGCATTAAATTGTGATTTTTCTAAAATTCATTTTTTTCTAACACTAATGTGTGCCTCAATTTAAAAAAAAATATTTTCTTGTAAATTTGAATTTTCAAATAGCAATAAATTATCATTAATGTAATTTTATTATATATGCCACATGTATCAGTCTTATCCTAAACATAATCTTCATGTTTAACTGAAACTGAACAAGGCATCCAGTATTTTTATGTAAAGTCTGGACACACTTTAGTGTGATAATAAAATGAAAAAAGAAAAGTCCTACATCATCTTATCATCAGGCATCAGAAAGAAGACAGCACACTGTAGTTTATGCCAATCTTCAAGGACTTTTCATCTCATGAGATTGGAGACCATCGACTCCAAGGAACACAAATGGATCCTTCATTATGGCTGACAGAGGATCAGCTGTACAAGTCCTATAATCACCATGCTGCCTTCTGGTGCCCAAACATTATCAGTTTCTCTATCCGATAAGCTAAATATTATATATCTTAAAGCATTACCCAGAGATAAAAATTACATAGCATTTGTAAAAATCATTGTTTATGAAACTAATAAGTGATATAAAATGACAGAAATTATTGTTTCTTTTCTGTTTACTCATATAAAAAAGTGCAAGTTGCATGCTTTTTTTTTTTTTTTTTGCAAAAAGCACAGTTTATCACAGTTTATCTACTGTAAAAATGTAGATTTTGACATCAGACAGACATGGCCTTGGATTATATTTCTATTATCACCTGTTATTTCTGTTATATCACAATTATTTCTCTTAGAAACAACTTTAAAGTCTTTGTCCAACTCCACACCTTCAACTTTAAATTGGCTTAGTAATTTTCCTACCTCCTAGAGCTATAAGCTAAAATTACACAATACGTGTAAACTACTTGGCAGAGGTGTACGCTCAGCAAAACTACCCCATGAAGATTTTATCTCCCTTATTTATTTCTGTTACCATTGGCAAAGAGATCACGTGGAAACACTGGTGTCCTATATTACACGGAACATCTAGGCTTTCTGAATCTTAGGTCCAATGCCGAAATCAGCTGACTCCTTAACTGTAACAACTAACTGTTGTACCTGTAGATAAGAGTATCTCTGCATCCTCATCAGAGAATCCTCTGCTTGCAGTAGATGGCAATTAACACAGACACTCACACCCTCTCATTGGTCAACGTGCAGAAAGCAATAGACTGTGGAGTGTTCAACCCCAAACTGGACAGTCATGTACATCATTCTTCTCCAAGGTTCAGGAACCATCATCAAGAGGACTTGGAAAGATGGTAAGAGCTAGACATGCTTGATAATATCAAGAGCACATTGTTCTCAAGTCACACCAGGGCAGAAACACAAATAAACTCACAGCAGTTGTGACAGCGTGCAAAAGACCTTCACAATTCCAGCAAAATAAAATCTTAGCCTAGAAGGGGAAGAAGAGACATGAACCACCCTCTCACCCCATGGCCGAGGAACTTTCGGCATTTGATAGCTACAGAGAACTCAGTTTTCTTTAAAACCTCACCCTGATAGGCTGACCAGACACCAGGACAAGCCCAAGTCCCAAAACCAGCTGGGAAATACAAACTGGACTTGACGGGGAAAGAAGAAGAAGAGGAAGAGGAAAAAGAAGTGATCTGAAAGTGGGAAGGGAAGGGAATCCTGGGAGAGTAGAAACAGTGGTAAGGGGAAGAGCTGAGATGACATCTGCAAAATACATTTTATGAATAAAAATCTTAGAAAAGGAAAATAAAGGTACATCTGTGTGCTTTGTTTTCGTTGTAACAAAATGTAGTCAGTGTCTACCTAAATATTTATGTCTGTTATTCATTTGTGTTTAGTACTAATAAGACAACGTTGTAAAGACTTCAACCAGGCAAGCACTGGATGGTCAGTGACAGGGAAATATAACTAAAGGGTTGGTACCTGGTAGATACCCAGCTGCTCAACAGCTCCTACACGAGAAAGAGATTTTCCTTTTTCGTTGCTAAGCATCACTTCTGAGAATCTTGTTAATTTTTGTTTACAGATGACAAACCAAAGGAAGATGAAAACCCAGATGAGAAGTCAGATAACAAGCCGGCTGACTTCAGTAAAAACACAGAGCCTGAGTTCCCCAAATTCCTAAGCCTCCTGGGTTCAGAGATCATAGAGAATGCTGTGGACTTCATCCTTCGATCCATGTCCAGAGGATCGTAAGCACGGGGACGAGCCTTGCTTTTGCCAGTTTCATTACAGATATTGATCATACTCCCGAAAAATCAGTCACGTGGAACAAATGCATTTATTATTTTCTATTGAAAAAAAATATCTTGCCCTACCTTAAATTACATTTTATATACGAATGAATGGCCTGAATTCTTCTGGTATAAGAAAGCTTCCTCAAGATTCTTTACACAATACTTTAAAATCCCAGGGCCACAGTCAGGAGGCAGAAGGATGCAGAAGCAGAACCAAGCAATGGAAGACAAGTTTTGGTTTTGTTGATGATTGTGATGAGTCCGATGTTTGCTTTCTAGTTTGAGTAGCTCAGGGGGGCTATCTGAGGTAGTTGATAATCTCTTTTTAGACATAATCTGCAAAATTCTCAGGAGCAGTGTGTTGGTCACCAGAAAGGATGACCAAGCCCATGAGTCTTTCTAATGCTCTCAGCCTAGTTTTTAATGCCCCTTGGATTTGACATGCTCTCTCAGTATTCATTATACTTGTTTTACTCTGCACCTCTGAAAGCTGCTGCTCTGTTCTTTGTTTTCACATAGACACCTAATCAGAGATTGGCAAAACTCTACCAGCTTGAAGATACAGCGGAGAATTTTTTAAATTAGTCTTCCTGCATTCCATAGTCTATCCACCCAAAGTCAAGGCTAAGAGTGCAGTTTTTAACAAGCTTTCTGGGTAATTTGACATGAAAGCCACACCTAACCCAGCTATATAGGTGGGCCCTAAAGTTATACCAAACCTTGAAATTCTGTTCATATTTATTTAAATATGAATTCCCCCATTTTCCCTGGTTAAGTAACCAACCAACAACAAATGAAGATCCATATTTATAAAGGAGTGGTTGGGGCTCTTCTTGTATTCTTTGATATGCTTAAATTAAATATATTTGGTGGTATGTGGTTCTGCATAGGATTTTTATACACACATTGTTAAAACTCAAAGATAATTTTATTTTATTGTTTCATTTCCTTTTGTGGAAGTTTTATTTGCATTTGTTGCCTCCTCAAAATTATTAACAGAAACAAGAAGGAAAATAATAAGAAATGAATAAATAAAGCATTCAATGTTTACAAAATAAAAAAAAAACCCTAAGAATGTCACATAGAAAGCATAGCAAATCCAGGAGGCAGAATAATTACTGCTTTGTTCTCCTTCCCTGGGAAAGTCCCCTTATGCAAAATGTCAAACATGTCAGTAGCTTTCCCTGAAAGTTTACTATTGGTTGCATTTAGGACTTGTAAGTTCTAAACCCAGAAATGTTACTTGTTGCTTATAGTCCTCATCACATTCGGAGCAGATTCCTGCTTTGTGCTGCTAGAGCTTTCCATGAGGTTGGGCATTTTGCCTTGGTGCTCCCTTCTGTCCCTAAGGGAATATTCTCTGTATTTCTCAGGGTCATTGCTTGGTCATCTTCAAGCTCCTCCTTGGAAAACAATTCTCTCTTCCTCTTATTAGTATTCTACCCCTTTCTACTCACTGTTCTCTATCACTTTGTTTTGAGATGGTATGATATATTACTTACAACATTATAAAGTCATTAATCATGTTTTGAATCATGTAACTTAATGAGAAAAAAAAAAGAAACCTGATAAATCTATCTAAACTAATATAATATAGCATTGTTCCCCAAGGAGTCAGATAGTCAAATAAAAATAATTTTATTTGATGAAATAATTAAGAAAAAAGATCTTAAAGATTATACCTAAAGCCCATGTTGTTCAATGACAACATATTCCTTATTCAAGAAAATAAATCTAGATGGTGGTGGAGTCAGGATATAAAGCATATTGCAGAGTCCTTTACACAGGAAGACCATGGGTGTTGTGGAGGAGAAGCATGAAAGGAGGCTTCCAGAAAAGCACGGTTGGGTCTTAATATACAAAAAGTTGGGATCAAAATTGATCAGGGCCAGATCTAGAGTGTAAATTGATTCTTAACAAATCTTCAGTCTTTAAGGCTAGATAACATGAACTGTTGCAATGAAGACTACAAATGACTAGCAAGATGAATTCTATGAGAATATTGAAACCTACTTCTAAAGTAGGCAATATGGTCCATGGGAAAATGTTGTGGCAAATGTGAACTATAATTTGGGTCTTGAAGGCTAGAGTGAGATTCAACTCAGAACAGAGAATGAACGAACTGGTGGGGAATCCTCAATGTGGAAAATTTGCTTTGTTTATCCCAAAATATCTGATGTCTAAGTACAGTTTCAAGCATGTAACATGTATATGCTCAGAAAAAACTGAATTAACTCAATTTCTCTCTTCATTTGCCTTCAAGATTTATTGATGCAATAGAAACTGATTTCTATTCCCCAGTTTTCTAAAATAACATACACTCAAATACAAACACCTGAACTTAATATACGTGTGTGTATGTAATATATATTACATATATATTATATATGTAATATATATAATAATGTTATATATATAACATATATATATATATGTTATCACCAAAAAAACAACCCCACTTATTTGCACATTCATTATCATCCCTGAAACCCGTCCATGAATTTCCACTGCCGAGCATATGCCTAGGCCTAGGGTGAAGATCCATTCCTGAAGTCCCTGCACGCCCTCTTGCCTCCACCATGCCTCCCCCGAGACACCTATGCCTGAACCACAGATGATTTGCATGAACCTTCAATGTTTTTGCATGACTTTTTCCATCCTCTGCCAACAATGCTTAGTTTCAAATCTACAATTCTCTTTATTCATCAAAACTAATCACTTTCTAAAGCCCAATTCAAAAACAAGCTCTGGGAAGAAGTTACAGACTCCTGCAATTACAAAATTTGGGGGGTTTTGTTTTGTTTTGTTTTACAACTTGGAATTCATAATGCTTTGTATTGCCAATGCAAAACAACAACTCTCATCTTAAAGGGAATAAAAGATAGTTTATTCTGGGGACATTTTGAGTAATAACAATAAGCTATTGTTAAAATCTCGGGTCTTCACTGTTATATAGGAAAATATGGAGAAGAAGATTCTACCTCAGCTATGAAAAGGCTTAGTGTGGTCACAGCAGCATAGGTCTATAACCCAGACTACTTGAGAGGCTGAGGCCAGAGGAAGATGAGCATGAGGCTAGCCTCGGGAACGCAGTGAGAGTCTACTTCAAAATGATACAAAATTTAAAAATTAATTTTTAAAAATTAAGAAAGAAAAGGGAAAGTGAGACAGTGTGGTGGTGTGGTCATGCTAATATCCCCATAACTCTATGTAACTCCTGCTTTCTCTCTTCTCTTTTTCAAGAAGTTTTATGGAACTTGAAGAGGACCCTGGGCAGCCACCTTCAAAAGTGAACTCCTAAGGTGATTCTAACTCATGCTTTACAGGTGAATTAATAGCATATTAGACACAGAAAATAGAAGTTTAGATAATTACATCCACTGATTTCAGGAATGCAAGCATAATTATAACCAGAAAGTTAAGGTTTTGGTTCCTTCTTTGTTTTAATTGTAGTTTGTTTCTAAAATTATATTGAAGTGCCTATATTGTTTTCATCTTATTTGCCAAATCAGGAGGCTCTTAAGGAAGGCAGCCAACTGTGACATGAAAACAATGAGCAGTGGGGATGAGTTGGTCTGGTCCCTGCTACAGGTCTACTAGAAACATACTGTTAGAATTCTGTCCCCTTGACAAACAGCTGACATAATCAGGTTCTAAAAAGAAATCATTGGTTTAGCTCTTAGTTTTCACAGTTTCAATCTTCAATGCACTGATGTCACTGTGTGGAGCAGATAGCAAAACAGTGCCTCATAACCCCTCAGCTGATGTCCAAGAAGAGAAAGAGGAACAAGCCAGAGTCCCACAGTCACTTTCCCAGTCACATACTCAAGACTGAAGGCTTTCCACCTGCTCCCTTGCCTTTAAAATTTTTACCACCCCAACTATCATTAAGCTAGGGACCAAGACCTTTATGCCTAGGCCTTTTGGGGAGCATTCCATATCAAGACTCAAGTACACCTGTGAAATAAGAAGGCAGTGGCCATTAAACAAACAAACAAACAAACAAACAAACAAAAAACCTAAGAACCATGCAATCATGCAGTTAGTCAGTCATAGGAAGAGTGAAATTTGCTGAGATAATCCATGGAGAAAACACTAATGGTTTCTCTGTCACATACATCTCATTTGTGTCCGAACCATATGGTTTGAATGCCCAGAACACCCATTGTTTTCACTTAGTCATCTCCTGAGAACTTATGCTGAAATATAAAAACAAGCATTTTAAAGACAGAAAAGCAGCATCAGTGCCTGACTTGAAATGAGTTCCTGCTCCATTTTAAGTGCTAGATACATAACTCATTTACAATCTCTATGAAAGGCGGCATCATCACCTTAAGCTTCACAAGTGAGAAAATGAAGGCTTGGGAATGATTGTTGTTATGGTGGTATTAATAAGGAAGGAGGAAAAGACTTGAATTTGAATCCCAGGCCAAGATTTGTGTCCTATAGCTAAGCCATATATCACTACTAGAGAGCAGAGACTGGTATAGGAGGAAGCAGTTGAGAGTAATGAGTAAGCTGTGATACACACTAAAATAAAACACTCCTCTCTTGATTAGTTGATTCCCTTTATGTACACCTCCAGAAATCATGGCCTTTCCCAACTTCTGTTGCTATCTAGGCTGGGAAAGTTCCTTTTCTGTACTGGTTCCATTTCATAATTTGGGTGCGGCCAATGTGAGCTCAGAAAGCCACTATTACATTACCCAGAACATAGCCTACTCTTTCATGAGCTCTTAGAGATGGAAATAAAGCTTGGGCATTGTAATCAAGATATGCCCAACATGCGTAATCCTGACTCTCGCCCCAAACCAGATAAGCCTCTCAAAACAGTGGCTTGAGTGTTCGTGTCCTCACCTTCTCCTCAGGGAAATGCTTTCTTCTCATTTCAGATGCCCTAATACTTTGTCTTCGTTCAGACTGCTACTATACACTCGTAATCGTTTGTGCCAGACCCTTGTAGGACCAACCTGGGCTTCAGTATAGGAGGAATAACGTAGACAAGACAATACAGGGGAGTAAAAGACCAGTTAGTGCCATGATCGTACAAGCTCAGCCTGTGCAGTGGGCACCTGCTCCTGTAACTTTAAGGACAGGTGGCCCCACCTCTCTAAGCTGCCTCATTTCTCTCCTTCTGAATTTGAAACACCAGAGAAATGTAATGGTTCCTGAGCATAATTGTAGGTTTTCTTTTCTTTTTTTTTTTAACTACATACTGGAAAAAGCCTTAAACAGAGAGATTTCTGAATGAACTCTAAATGCCAAAATTATCCATGAGGAATGGTTCTATATGGAGCTGTAAAAAAACATTAATAAAAATGTTTTGATAATGAGCGTCTGTTTAAATGACGACATGGTCACTTATGGGTAGCACTTAATGAATGGTTGTAAAGTTTTGGTTCTGTTATAATTGTCTTGTCTAATAAAAAGCAAGTCATTACTTTACAATTAAGTTATTCACAGCAATGTCTTTTTCTCCAGCTCAGAACATTTGAACAAACTTCTACTTATTTCTTAAATTAAGAAGTTTAGATTAATGGAGCTGGAGAGATAGCTCAGTGTTATAACAGTGCTTACTGCTGTTCAAAAGACCTATGTTTGGTTCCCAGCTTTCATGTGGGGCCTTTCACAGGTGTCTGATCCAACTCTAGGGCAGGCAAGACTCTAGTCTCCCTGAGCACATGCACACACAGAGAGACATGCACATGAATATAAATCAGTAATAAAAGAAATCTGTTTTACAAATATACAGCTAAAGATAAATGATAAATAATCAATAGATGTCCTGTGTTTGTCTTAGCGATGTGTTCAGCGTCACTTTCACCCCATTTACCACCACTTTTTACACACACCTTTAATGAGTATTGAATCTTTGCCAATTATGCCTCAAACTTGGGAAGCTCATTATCTGGGCTATCTTCCAGCTCAGTGTACCTTGAGAACACGCAGGTAAATGATAGGTGCTCAGGGAAAGGCCTGAGTAAAGGCAAGAAGCCCCTGGAGAAGGGGTGAGAGTGATGATGGCTTTACAAAGAAGGGAAACTGGACCAAGTCTACACACAATCTAAGGGATTGATGAGGAGGTGATACAGGAATCGGAAAGGCAATAGTGCTCTAGTGAGGAACACCTGACTAATCTGGGATTCCCCTCAACCTCAGCTCCTCCACATCAGTGTGACTTCCAATAGGCTGAAGGTTTTCAAATATCTCTTTTAAATTTTGTTTATTTATTTAGGTTACATCCTGATCACAGCCCTCTCCCTCCTTTCTCCCCCTCCTCTCCCCTTCCCTATTCCTCAGATAAGGAGAGCCACCCACCCACCCATCCACCGAGCCCAGCTCATTATTTCATCAGGACTGAGCATGTCCTCTTCCCCTGTGGCCTGGCAAGGCAGCCCCACTGGGTGGAGGGGGGAGTGGGGAGAGCAATCAGAAAGCAGGCAACAGAGTCCATGTCAGAGGCAGCTCCTGCTCCACTTACTAGAGAACTCACTTGAAGCCTAAGCTACTCATCTGCTATATCTGTGTTGGGGGCCTAGGTCTGGTCTATTCATGGCTCTTTTTAGTGCTTCAGTTTCCACAAGCCCTCCTGTGCCCTGGTTAGTTGACTGTTGTGGCCTGGTACTACTTGAAGACACTTAAATTCAAATTGTTCCTGTTTATATCTTAAGTCATTTGACACATTTGCCTATAAATTACCTTTTATTCCACCCCCCCCCCGACACAAATGATAAACTTTGTCAGATAATTAAGATCTTCAGAAGAAATAGTGGATGAAAATGTTCTTTATTATTTTTTTTAAATTTCTATGCACACTATTCAGGTTTAAAAAAAAAAGTAAATTAAATAGAAAGTTCTGATGAAACTGATGTTCAGAAGTAAAGTTGGCCACACTATTGTCTCTCCTCAGGCCAGCTTGCTCTCCTTCAGTCATAAAGTGTGTGTGACTGCTATGTCTTTTCTTTCTGCCACCTGTCCAGGCCAGAGCAAAAGCGAGATCTCTGTTCATCCCTCAGTTTGGTCTGCATGCATCCCGCCCTCACCCTTGCTGCTGGGTCTTTGCTTTTGTACCCTGATTTGGTGTTGTTTGTTTGCTTCTGTGATTGTGTTCAATTGTTTTCTCAAACCCCCGTGACAGTTGATTTTTATTGTAAAGGCCTTTGTGCTTTAAAGTGCAGAGGAGTTAACATTTTATTTTAAAAAGGTAGACAGTCTTCACTCTATTTGTTAAGTCAGAAGTCAACTCTTCGTTCTCTACTTGTGTTTCCAAAGGGCACACCCACCTGGCAGCTGGACAAAGAAAGGGCAGCCAGATCCTGAACATCCAGTTCTGTTTCACAAGTCGTCCAGAACCAAAGACCTCAAGGCAGCTCCCAGCAAGTCCCTGGGAATCGAGCCCCAGTTCCAGCCAAATACAATTCATTTGAGCTCCTTGACTTTGCATTTGTCTTTCGTCAAAGTCAGAAAAAGTATTTTCTTGGAGTTGTAAAATTACATACCTGCCTTCAGAGATTTCTGTTGTTCTGGAAATTTTCCATGATTTTTTTAATTTTGCAATGAGGTAAAAAAAAAAATGAGATTACATATTACATATATATAAATATGTATATAAGCTAGCTCAAGGCTTCTTTATATATACAATACTTGCAAGCTAACAGATTCTAAAAGATAACACATTTAAAATTAAAAAGGCAGAATATAGTAGAAAGAGAATTTAATTCTTAGTCCAAAAACTAAGTTCTTCATTTAAAGATATACGAAGTTTCAATAATTTACACATTGTTTAAGTTTTCTATTCAAACTGTCTTGCACCTCATATCCTGCATTAGTGAACTGAACATTAAACTTCTTTTCATTCAAATGTCTGCTTCTCTTCTGTGGCTAGTATTATTCCTCTGAAATATCAGTGTTGCGTGAAGAGTGCTTGGATTGCTGAGTGCAGCCCTTTCACACTCCCACCTCAGTGAACCTCATCAGTCACTGCAGCCCCCTGGACAAACACATTCTCCCACAGATACCTACTGTGCTCAAGAGAACGGGATGGAAGTCATGGAGCAGGAAGGGCTGTGCCACAGCTGTTCAGGAAAGTTGGCAATTCTCAGCTCTCTACAGGTTCACAGCTCCTTCTTTTATCTTTCCCCTACTCTCCAATAAGGTCCACATATTCAAGCAGCCAGTATGTTTATTTTCAAAAGAAGCTTTCTGTCAGATGAATAGTGCATCTTGTTTTTCTTCTATGAGCTTGTGATCTCACTAACCCTTCATGATCACTGTGTGATCGGAAAGAGATAGCGGGGCTCC